CTACTTCACAAGGTTGCCTTGAACCCGAAAGCCTCGACACCATGTCCCTACTTCGTGCTGCACCCGAGGCACAACATCGAGTCCCAGAGCTCCTCCATCGCTGCGGTCGAGATCAACTAGCAGAAGGAGCTCCTCGGAGAAAGAGGGCACAAGAGGGGAGGCGGTGGATCGCAACAGATTGTGCAGTAGTGGGCAAAGCAAAGGAATCCAGGAAGTGTCCCGCGGCACCACCCCCGGATCAGTTCTCTTGCGAAGTGCGAATTCGGAATCATAGGCCGAGACTCAGCTGCCATGACGCCACCGCCGGGCAAACAGCCATGCAGGCAGTACGACAACGAACAGAGAGCTGTTTGGTTCCAGGATGTATAGGTAGTACAGCTAACCGGATTCAAGCTGGGCGGGTGCTTATGGCTAAGGGTGGGGATTGAAGAGGGCTATAGGGTTTCTTAAGCTAGGGTCAGGGGTGGTTGGAGGTCGCCGATTTACGTTGCAATGGCAGTGCTAGTGGATGAATGTTGACCGAACCGTATGAAGGTGTGTGGGAAGCTCAGGTCGGGGACTTGGCATGCGACTGACCTCAAGGCCTTTAAAGCTTAGTGCTTCGGGTACTTCTGACGGGCAATGGTGCCATGGGTTCAAGGTCTGATCTGGCAAAGCCTATGTTGCAATCCCATCATCGAGTCGATACTTCCTTGTCCCGGTCCCGCTCATCAGGTAATTACGAGGGCAGGTATTCCCCCAAAGTCCTCCAGCTTTGATCTTCCTAACCCTCGACCTCGCCAGCTTTTGCCAGTTCGCACCTGATTTTATCCGCTGCGTTCGGCTGGCTGGTTGCTGCGAAGTGACCTCAGCAACTTCGGGGCCTAGCCGTTGGAGCTTACGGCTGAGGCGTGAAGGGACAGAACCGTGCTTTGGAGTGGAATTTAAGCTCCTGACTATCACACATTTTGCCGACTTAGTATCTCCTTTGTACAAGCCAGTGGCCAGTGCCCGTAAACCTCAACATAGCTGTGGTTTTCGGAGTGGAGTGGAGTGCGTGCCTGCAGAGAGAGGGAGAGTGAGAGACAGGCCATGGGAGATCGAGACGGCCAAACTACGAGACAGACAGAGATGCAGCCTCAGTTTGGGCACGTGAAGCTGCCCAATTCTTGCATGCACAGCAAGGGGCACGGCCACGAAGCCGAGCGTAGTGCTCAGCACGCAGGCTGCGAAAATCCAGTTGCCTGGGATTCTTCGGGTCGGTCTTGCCCTTCACAGGCCCAAAATCGTCCCGGGACGCTCGTGGCACCATCGCGCAACGGCACCGTCAGGCTTGACCTTCGTTGCGCCGAACTTCGGAGGTTCCATTTACATCCTTACGTCCACAGTAGCAGGCCGTTTCATTACATCGCCTCTTATGCTCTCTCATGTTGTGTCAGGACGGACGACAATCGTCCTCTACAGCAGAGAGCTGCCACGTGTCAGTATCATTCAGCTCCTTCAGAAGAATATGGTGCGTTTAGCCTGCAGAACTGCCGTCGGGGGTCGACAAGCATCGAAATGGGGCGAAAAGTCAAAAACCTCAATATCATACATCAGATAGCACCAGCGGCATACTTGATCAGCACTGTCTTCCCGTCCTTGGCTAAAGCGTTACAAACAAACACACACACACACAGAGACATACTGACAGACACACACACACACACACACGCACACACACGACGCTAAACCCTAAACTCTCGCTGCACGACTTCGCAACTACCATGCCTTCCTGCTAGTAGCACTCAGGTAATTATACCTACGGAACAGAGCACCCCTTCAGGCCGCTCTTTACCCTGCAGTCGGTCACAGCTTGTAGGGGTCCAAGGCACCCAGTTCTGAGAAAGACGTCCAGTCTCCTTGGAAGTCGACCAGTGTCCAAAGAAACACTTTACACAACTGTGTAAAACCAGAAAAGCCAGCAAAAGTCTTGACTTCAAGCTTTCTTGGAACAATCCTGCCCGCAGCTCTTGTTGCAACCCCAGCGCGACGTCTCAAGTCCCAGGGAGTTTGATCAAAACTTTTTGAAAGCCACTCTACCGGCTGAAGGACGCGTCGCCATCGCTCCGGTCGAGGTCGACCAGGAGGAGAAGCTCCTCATGCGAACCCTGCACAACAAGAGCTGGGAAGCTGCCCTTAGGTGGTGATTGAAAGCTCGTAAACGACGCCCCGCGGGCGAGGAGCCCAAACTCCTGCATGTCTGCATCTCAAATAACCGCTGCATGCAAGCTAAACATCCTGAGCCTAGCCATCAACCATAGGCAAACAACATCAAGGTAGGCATGCAACAGTCAGGATATTTCGCTTGGACATTGCCCCACCTCCCCGACAGCTTTCTCCAATGCCGATCTGGTAAATCCCCCAGCGCACCGTCTCCCTGAGTTTAACTGCGAAGTTCGTGGATAAGTACCGCAAACTAGATCGCCACGTTAAGGCCTCAGACAATCAACAAATAAAAAAGGGGACGACTAAAAGCACCCTCATCCGCACTGGCACTGTCGACTGACAAATCTCCTCATTTTTGCATGCGGAAGAATATGCGTTCGGATTGGGAAAGCATGACCATACACTCCGGGTCCGGCGAGAACCAGCATTGCTGCACAAAAGTGCGGAGACATGCCAATCCTAGAATTAGAAACGCTTGTTCATGAAGTCGGTGATGCGCCGGTGAGAATTCAAGATCTTGTGCTGCTCCTCTCCCGCCAGCCAATGCAACCGATGTCTCAGCCTTACCAGCCGCTGAAACAAACGATTCTGCAGTTTGCCTTGATTGGACTTCGGAATGCTGTCTGTCCGGTTGACGAATGCGACAACTTCTCTCCATCTTTTCTCCGACTCCTTGCGAGACCTCAAGCTCATGGGCTTCTTCCATGACTCGACACAGTCGGCAACCAGGGGATGCAGAGCCGCGATCGCATCTCTCCTAAAAGCTGCGTCTGCCCGTGTTCGACTGAAGCTGCTGTGGAGCAGTGTTCTCACCGTTCTCCTTTGCCCTTGCAGCCAAACTGCCAATGTCTTGCCTTCAGCATCATCTGCTGAGCCCAGAAGTGGGGGTGTCCTTGGAACGACCTGGAACTTCAAAACATAGTCCCGCAACCTGTTGCAGAAACTCCTGAAACGGACAGTGGGATCTTGCCAAGCAGCTGCTCGCTTCCGTATGGCTGGGAACGGCGAGTCAAGAAACTTTTGGAGCCTGTGCGCTGGCAACTTGCCCTGTTTCGACCTCGCCCCCGTGTTCTTAATCCAATTGACTAGCGACCTCTGCTCCTTGTCCATATTGGTCGGAAGTCGCCCATAGTTTTGGACGAAGCTTTGCATTTCTTCAAAGCGACCATCCCAACGATCGGTGTTATGCAGCAGAGTCTCCAGCCTGTACATGACTTCTTGAGTGACGCTCATGATGTTGGAATTTACCGAGGCTCTGCAGTCCACAAAGCCGAGGCGGAAGCGCAAGGAGCTCGAGCAGCTGGCAAGGCCGCTGTCAGCATGAGCGATGATGGACAAAAAACGGTCGAGCTGCGAGCCGTACACGTCACCCATCTGCATACACGTGGCGCTAGAGAGCTTCAACCTCCTTTTTTGGAGAACCCTGCGCTTGATGATGGTGCCAGATGTGTCGCCTTGTTTCACAGGCGGCCTGCAATTCCGGCATTTGGCGTCAGGACCAGCGACCCATGAATCATGACGAACTTTGTTGCCGAGGTTTACACTTTCTGAAGCAACGCCTGCCTGACGAAAGCTTCGCCTCTGCTTCTCGGCTGCACGTGGGAAGGCAAAGACTTCTGAACTTGCCTTGCTTTCACTGCTGCCCAGCTTTTTGGATTGACCGAGAAATGCAGATATCGGCTCTGTGGCATCAATGCTCGCCTGGCGGTTCGCACGCCGCTCTGCAGCAAATTCAGGAGCAGCTTGCGATTCAGTCTGGGTGGCACTCCGGAAAATATCCGGTTCTGACAAGCGACCTCCTCCGGTGTTCGACTCACAAGCAGCTAGGGGTTCCTTGGAGAACACAGCCACTGCTGGAAGAATGACATGAGCCATGGGTTTGCAAATGTGCTGTCGCAAGATACGGCCAACCGCTTGAACTATGCTGGTGTAGCTGTTGCGTGGCTGCACGAACATGCAGGTATCTGCGTTGGGGATGTTCACACCTTCGCCCAACACCTGAACTGTCACAAGGACATGGACCGGTCGCTGCAGGTCGCCTGAGAACTCTTGAATGACGCTTTGCCTCTTCAGTCGACTGGTGTCTGAATTGATGTGCCAGACAGCTATATCACAGGTCGCGAAGACCTGCTGTGCTCGCTTAGCTTCAGCTACAGAGTTGCAGTAGGCCAGCACCCTCCTGAAGCGACCCTGGCTCGTGTGGAGAAGCCTCGCAAGGCTCGAATATGGATGACCCTCGGTGATTATCGGCACTGTGAGATCATAGTCGCACAGGACCCTTTCCTGGATAGCTTGTCCCATGCCATACTCGTAGTCTGTCTCCATCGAATGAGTTGCTGAGAAAAGGAAGAGCTCCTCACATTCAGGCATTTCAGAAGGCAACGGATGGTGAGCCTCATCCACGAAGACAGCTTTGAATCGACAATCTTGGAGGAGGTTTACAGAATCCGTCACTGCGATGAAGCCGGAAGCACACCTATTGATGCGGTTGTTGTAGCCAGTCCCCACCTTGCAGAAGCTGGGGAAATCGGCTGCAAACTGCTCCAGCAACAAGCGCGAAGGCACGGTGATCAACACCTCGTCTTAGTGTCAAATTAACTACTATCATTCTTGCATGATGCTGGCAGGAGGTGGAAGCATCTCACTTGTCTTTTCAATTTTCTTTTTGGCCGCGGCATGACGCATGCTCCCCGCCTTGCCGGAGACGTTCTGAGTCAGCTCCCGGATAACTCGCGTCTTTCCCGTGCCGCAAGCCATCTCAATCACTCGAGCCCCCTTCGCACATGCATCCAAACAAGCCTGATAATTGCGGGTCAGGCAAAAGAAACTTCTACAGTGTTCTATTGGAGGGAAAGGTAAAAGTGCTCTTTCCGCTGCTACCGAAGCCTAAGAGCATGCAGTAAAGAGCTAAAAAATCATTTGAAGTCAGGCCTGCTGGCAAGGCCACAAAGGCTGCACGGTTGCCTCGGGAAAGCCGCCGTGTGGTTGTGGAATGCTGGCTGACAGCCTGCGGATCTCGGTCTTGCTGATGGTTCGGTGCTTTGCACCATATTTTCGGAGCCACCGCTCGGATTCGGCCTGCAGCTTCGTGCCCCGGTTGGTGAGCAGGAGAATATCTTCGACCTGCATCACACTAGAATTTCCCTGGTAAGGTTGGTTTGCAGGCTACATTTCAAGCCCGGATAGGCCTTATGGACCCTATACAGTGCCATCATGCAGTACATTCTCTCAACACGAAGCAGTGGGGCCAGTTCCCAGGCCTTGCAAACCCATCTGGCGGTGCGCAGAAAGCGCTTGATGTCACAGTGAAGTACAGAGCAATTGATGTCCGAATTGCGGCACAGCACCGCTTGCTGTGCATCAAGGCTGATGAGGTCAATACCTGCCGCACACACAGCAACAGCTTTAGGCTTTCGTGGGAGGTTGCTGGCTCTGCAGCATGAACTTACACACCGACAAGTAGCCTAGACATACTTTCACGGGTAAAACAGACCACATTCGCTCGGCTGGCAAAGTCTACATTCCTAGAAATTCAGGTCCAGGCCCATGCTGCGGCGCGAGAGGTTCTGTCGCTCCCAGAACCAGGGAGGCAACTCCTGTTCTGTAGAAGATCTTAATCGCGAGCAGAAGGGCAAAGGTAGACTAGTGCGAAGCACCATCTGTACCATAGTACCGGACTAAAGCTTAAGCGCTGCAAGGGATAAGGGTCCTGAAGAGGTACAGTGTCAGTCTGCAGTGCCGCTGCCCACATCAACTTCCTTCGATGTTTGCAAATGAGCACGACAAAAGCTATCGAGAGAACAAATCCGCTCTAGTTCAAACCCCTTTCCATTTGCCCTAGCATCAGCTGTTCGTGCATCACGGGCTTGTAGACGGCAGGACTGCGGAGTTTTTAGCCTGCGAGCATCAAACGGGGTTTTAGCTCAGATCCAAGTATCAACTCCTCCGTGAGATGGGGCCACGTCAGCGCCTCTTTGGCGAGGCCATGTACACGAGCCAAGAAATCCTCGTCTCTACCTTGGATGTGCCCGCTGAATCACTTCACCGACTATGTTTGTATACTGCCGAAGCGCTGAAGTTTCAGGGATATGTCTCGCACCCGGTTGTGTCATAGGCATACGACCTACACTTACAACAGCAAGAGCATCCGGACGTGACTTGCATGCAGGATGCGTTGCGCATTGTCGGTCGAGACATCTGTGGACGATGCCTTGAATGCTTTCCTGCTGATGCTGCAGCCCCGACCGGAGGGCCTCCTCTTGAGAAGCTCAAGGCTTGTCAAAGGCGGAGACGTCCTGTGCAACATAGTTTGGAAAAGTGTAAGGGGTGCCATCATCCCAAAAGAGACGCCCAGGCCACAAGCCAGTAGACAAGAACGGCACCACCAGTACCAGGCCCTGCGGCGAGCGGTGTGCACGCCATGAAAACCGTGAGACGGAATGCCTCGTCTCTGGAACATCCACTTGTGGCGCCCACGAATGTCTAGCGGGGCAACTCGCAAGCTGTCGACTGCCGGCCAGGAGCTGAATTCCATGCAACTGCGCAGAGGTCTTCAAACAACCTTAAGTTGAGCCGCGATGGCTCACGATTTGCACTCGTCTCTGCTATGTCTTGAACAGCATTAAGTAATGCCACGTGCAACACGGAGCCTGGACAATACACGGATAAGTTTCCAACAAGAAATCTTCGCACACCGTGTGCAGGGCGGGTCCGCTCTTGACAACGAAACCAACATGAATCTATGAAATCACTGCTGCACAACTCCACCCCTCGAGCGAACACCGAACACAGCTCTTCTGATGCATGCCTGCCAAACAATACCGTTCTAGTGTGAGCCCGGGCAACCCATGACCCTGAATCAAAGTCGAAAAGAGAGGATAAGCTGGAAATCCCCGAACCCACAAAACCTAAAAACCGAAACCCCTCAACCCCCAAAGTGCCAGCAACTCAGCAGATCAGACCGAGATTCAGCTGCCATGACGCCACCGCCGAGCAAACGGCCATGCAGGCAGGGCGACAACCAAAGCAGGGCTGATTCGCAACTCGGACAGTGCCAGTCTGCTGTTTTGGGGTTTATAAGGGATTAGGGATTGCGGCTAATCATGGCTAATCGGGTTCAAGTCGCCCTGCGTGGGTTTGGGGCTTGAGAAGCTTTGTAATTTAATGGCTTTACATTGTTTCTCATGCAAGGCGATTTACTTGTTTAGGCTGCGGTGTTGTAAAGACAGCATTTGGCACCATCTCGGGGTTTGGTTCAGTTCAAAGTGAGTCGGAAGGTTGGAGGTCAGCGAATTGCTGAAGAGTTGAGGGATTAGTGAAAGAATGCAGAGCTTTGGATGACAGACTTGAATATTTACCGCGTGGCTTGAAGGGAACGTGGCACGCAGCTGGCCTCAGGGCTCATGGAAAAAGCCCGACGAGTCTTTGAGGAGCCATAAAACAAGAGCACAACCGCCTAGATCCTGTGTCCGACCAGGATCCGAGCGGACATGACCTCGATAACAAAACTCACCCAAAAGTCAAAGCGGAAGGTAAACGAAGCTTGCGAATACATACTCTAGAGCGTAAACATGCATTCAGTTTAACGTTTAGGGCCTCCGGTGACTACTCACTCCGTGGGTTCAGAGTCTGGCCTGGCTGGGCATATGACATCACCACAATCGATACTGCCTTGCCCTGATCCCGCTCATCTCTGAGCAATCTTGCTAACCCGCTTTTGCGCTTCGCATCTGATCTTATCCGCTGCGTTCAGCTGGCTGGCTGCCGCGAAGTGACCTCAGCAAAACACATCCATGTGGCTGGAGTAAGACTAGAGTCCGCAGGCCGCAGGGACAAGACCGTGCTTTCGACTCGGGAAGGTGTAGAAAGCCAAGCTCTGTATTTCTGCAGCCCTTCCCTTGCCAGGCCAGGGTGACCATACCCTCAGAGTCTATGTGCTGAATAGTCATACAGTCGCCCGAATACTTACCATACTACAAGCTGCTGCCCTAAACCCAAGTTCCTAAGAGTTGTAAATCCTCTGGACCCTTGGGGATAATGCAGGAGAGCCATTACAAGGTAGCACACCAGCACCGAATCGAAACACGCAACCACTTCAAGGCCAAAATGACTCAAAGACCATGTATGTAGGCAGGGAAGATGTTGCAGAAGGGGTTCAGGTCTTCGCTGCACATCTCTCTCTCTCTCTATCAAGAGGGAAAGACCGAGACCATGCGAGAGCGAGATGGCTACGCGGCTGCCTGCTCATTGTATTCACGGCGAGGCGCACGGCCACGAAGCCGAGCGTAGTGCTCAGCACGCAGGCTGCGAAAATCCAGTTGCCTGGAGGCGTGGGCTTTACAAAGACTGGCGCTTAGTAAAGCACCAGAGTAAGAAGTCGGTGTGTTATCTCCAAATAACACGAAAGCTATGCCACGGTGTGGATGATGTAGCGTGACTCTGCAATCCGAATTGAGACCTCTGGCCTGAAACTGTGCTTCTGCCGGCTGTACCGGCGGCTGTAAACATTCAACTGAAGGTGAACTTTACAAGGCTTGGACCCCAAAGCCCAAAGACTCCGTGTCCCGCCTCGGACTTGGCTTGCGGACAACGGCTGCGAGGCTATGCCGTCCTTTGCGTATGGCTGTCAAAAATCACCGGCCAATCACCGGCTAACCAAAGAATCAATTCATCCAAACTCCTATAGGTGCTTGGTAGGCCCTAACTTACTTTGAAGGCGCTCTTCTTCTGTATGTGTGGCGAACTCCGCGTCATGCACAGTGGGCGGGAGGGCGGCTGAGAGTATTCACTGGCTTCCGGAGCTTCTCGTCAGTGAAATGTTGTGAGAGCAAGACAGGGGAGATGCCCTGGAGTTGCTGGAAATCCTATGTCCTCGGTAAACTAAGAGCCCCAAACGCTTTATCGCCGAAACGCCAGAGTTCCTGGAAACACACATGAAGCCCTGTGAGAGCCTCTGAGACGGAGTCTGAGCCCAAGTCTTATATCATATATTATGATCTAACCTCCGAGTCGCCGTGGACTGTAAAATCCAAAACCCTGTACCCCCTCAAATGAAAGACACAGCCATCAGGCCTCCGCATCAACCGTCTCGGCGCGCCAGAAGGTCGTCCAAGCAGTTTTGAAGCCCCCCGACACGTTCTGCCACATCCTGGTTTCCAGGGTTTGCGGTTTCGAAAGATTTGTCGAAAACACCGATGCTTCTTATGATGGTGCGGCTTGATGTGCTTTTCAAAAGATGTGATTTACGGTTCACGGTTTCAGTCTTTAGAGGTGTCGGAGAACTACGAGGCCTTGAAGGGGGTTGGCGTCTGGATTTCGTGCTCCAGCCTGGAGTTGATGAAACAGTGACGTTTGAGCATGAACACGACCACTCAAATCCCAACAAGCCACGAAGCCCAAAAACGTGCAGCCCGAAAAGCTTTGGAATCCAGGCCTACGTCACCGCCGGGTACCCCTGAAGTTCCAAGAAGGAAACTGTTGGCCTAAAACCCCCCAAAGCCCTGAACCCTGGCCCCGTAACCGTTGAAGCTCAGTAGCTGCTTCATCTCTGTGACCTCCATCACCGTGGGACCAGCAGAGGCGACACCCCGCGCCTTCGAAATCGCTCGGGGCTGCTAGGACCTAGTACCGAGGTGGTTCTTTAAAGGGTTCTTTACTTGACAAGTCTTTGCGAGGTTTAGAGGGCTTGAGCATGAGATAGTTGTAACTACTCGGCTGCCACATTATGCATGGGGAAATCAGTTTCAGAGGACGGTGCTTGGCTTAGAGTGTAGTGTTTGTTTATCGTCAAACAATTTAAACACGGAAAGCTTTCAAGGGATAGGTTTCTCAAGTTCAATGACTAATGAGCCTTCTATAGCCTGGCATTAAAGCTCAAGAGCTTCGATGGTTCTTCTAAACCCTGAACTCCCCGAAGCTGCGAAACTGGTAAACAACAGAAACCCACACAAAATGCAACCGAAACCTCTTTCTCCAAACCCAAACAAATCTCGAAATGCCTCTTAAACCCATGCTGCAGCACTCGAAAAATCTCACAGCATTTGACAAAAAAAACGACCCTCCCAAACCCTACACAAAAAGTGCAAACCCAGATACCGAACAGGCCTACACCCCCTAACACCTATACCGACCACCGACGGTTCCGAGAGCCTCCGAAGCTCGGTCCAACCTGAAGCCCCCAAAACGGGCTAAGTGCTGGTGCTTCTTAAGGTCTTTGAGAAAGCTGAGGGCTTGTTTTTTGGTCTTAGAGAAAATCTCGTGGGGGTTGGAAGATTGTTCAGAAGTTTGCAGTGTTCTTTATGCGTTCTGTCAAAGGTCTTATAGAAATCTAGTGGATTCTGCAAGGCATCGATGATGCTTGTAGAGTTCTTGTAATCTGTATGGGTGTCTTGGTTTCCTGGGCTGGTCTATCATCTAAGCGAAACCCTCCAAGAACTACATTTTAGGGCTTTGGGGTTTAAGTTTATTGTTACTTTCAGGTAAGTATGCAGATAGAGACAGACAAGTTAGCGGCCCGAGGTCCGGTGCCAGCTTCGTCGGGACGTGGCTTCTGCACTTGCGACTGACAGGGCGAAACCTGGGAGCTTCAGAAAAAAAGGGGTGCTACCCCCCCCCCCCCCCCCCC